TATTAATATATATATATATATATATATATTTAACTTAATATAAACTGAAATAGGTTTATATAATTAAAAAGATATTTATTATAGCTATTTAACTCTTTTAAAACATAATATTCAATTTAAGATATATATACGACAAAATCTAATTTGAGTTGAATTATACATTTAAAGGCTATATAAAAGCATATAAAGTATAGCAACTGAATTATATTTTGTGTGTTAAGACTCTCTAATAGTTAGGGAATTAAAACCGTACGTTCTAATTGAGTGGACTACGACGAAACGGCATGGAATCTGCATCGTGTGAATGTGATTGGATTTACAATACAACTGTATAGTTTCAGATTGAGATATGTCAGATTTTGACAGGTATTTTTCTCATCTTATTCACCCAAATTAATTTCTTGTACTTGAATCTCAAGATTAATTTTTTTGTCAGTGTACCGACGATGGTCTTAACATAAGGGATAATAAAATAAGTTCACAAGTGTTTATAGTAATCAAAGATAACACTAAAAAAATGATAAATGTTAATGAGAGTATGAGATTGGTAAGAGTTCGAGTGATAAGAACATAACAATTTGAAAGTTGAATGAAGGAATTTAATTTTTTTTAAGAAAAAAAATTAATGATCAAAATTGAGTGATTGAAAAACATAATTTACCCTTACTTTGTTGTTGTTTTTTTTTATTTTATAAAAAAAAAGACCAATTTAGATTCTATAACTAGTGGAAGGGTATTTAGGTAATTCACCCAAATTAATGAGGCCAAGGTTTTCTATTGGTCTATTGGAGTTGGGATTTTTCTCTATTGTAAAACAGAAGACATTAAATTGAAATTGAAAAAGTAAACGGCAATGTTTATTAAAAAATAATAAAGAAACCCTAAACATTTCATCTCTCTTAAGTTGATTCTCTGCCATCTGAACTAAACTGAGAAGAAGAAAAAGGGATTTACACATAAACCCTCACAACTTCTAACAGCTATAGTTATTTTGAAGGCAGATAAATTTCTTCTCGGATTTCTTATTAATTTTTTTTTTCTTTTCGGATTTTTTTAAATCTTAAAGACTATATTTTTGTGGTATTCAGGATTGTTCTTCGATCCGTGGAATTTCGAGAATTGGAGATGGAAGATTGGGGTACGCTTCTTTTGGCACTAGTTTGTTGTTTATAGGCAGGGCTTTGATTCACACCTTTTTTTTTCTCTTTCATTATGTATGAACTTGAATGCTGAAAGATATTTTCCCTCTTTTTTGTTAAGAGGCAAAAATTGATTGGGTTTATTGAAATTTAGGGCTTTTATTTGTTTTGTTTTGTTTTGATTTTTTGGGTTTTGAGTAAAAATTTATTGGGAAATTGACTCTGGTGTTGCCAGGTGAATTAGAGAATTTAAGTGGTAAAACTATGGTCTATTTCATTCTGTCATTCTATGATTTGATATGCTGCCTGTGATTTCGTTTTCTTTAACCTTTTTTGCCTCACAAAGTTGTATGCTCTTCTTGCAGAGGAAGAGATTCCGCCTATCCCTACAAAAGCGATACCTCAAAGCAAATGGGATGATGAAGATATTGATGATTCCGATGTCAAGGAATCATGGGAGGATGAAGATGAACCTGAACCTCCTCAGGTATGATGGTTCTCATTGTAAATTGGATTTTTTTAACAAGGTGTGTGGATATGCTTGTGTTATTCTTAAAGTTACTAGTTCTTGTTGGATGATCTGTATTTGATTTCGATATATGTATCTCCGGGCATTATTGGACGGATAAATAGTATCTAATATTGTATTAGCAACCTGTTTTAGAACTTAGATTTGGTAATTCAAGATGGAGTGTCTCGTGTCACCTACAACAATAGTGGAGACATTGGCAGAATAATAGTGTTTTCGTAGAATGCCTATTGTACAAACTCATTAGCCTAAATATTTTACCATCCGTCTTGTAACTTAGCTGCTTCCTCTGAACATTCTATGCAATACACCAGGCATTTGTGTTGTATATCTGATAACGGAGTAAGGATTATTTGCTTGTACTCATTGTCTCCTTAATTGGTATCATCAGCCTGTTGCAAAAGCTCCAGAAGGGAAGGCCCCCAAAAAGGCTCCCCAAAAGCTACTGAAGCCAAGGAAGAGCCCTTGATCCAGTGGCGAGAAACTTCGCCAACAAAGGTAGAAATTTAGTATTTTTAACTTCCACTGTGATATCATGATAATGAGGTCTTTCCTTGGTCATTGCCTCATTGGGGGTGGAATGTGGATATTGCAGCAAAATGTGATTGCTAGAACATAAATTTGCTCACTATTTTTGTAGTTTGTTTCTAATTTAGCAGAAGTCTTACTGTTTTTTCTCGCCTATTCACATACTTAGCACCGATTTGTACTTCTGTATATACACACATACATATATCCAAAATTGAAAATTTTCTCATTAGTCATTGTTTTTCTTGGTAAGGCACCTTGATCTGACATTTGCTTTCTTTTGTAGGCTTGTGGAAGAAGCTGATTATAGGTCAACCGCTGAACTTTTTTCCAAGAAAGGTGATGATAAGACTCTTGATAATTTTATTCCCAAATCTGAAAGTGACTTTATGGAGTATGCAGAGCTTATTTCTCACAAGCTTCGTCCGAATGAGGTGAGTTTAATCATCCTTCTTTTCCTTTATTGGGACTGCATTGAGGAAGTTCTCATGTCGCCTAAATACATCCTTTGTTGCAGAAAAGTTTCCACTATATTGCGTTACTGAAGGCCGTGATGAGATTATCATTGACTAATTTGAAAGCAGCTGATGTCAAAGATATTGCATCTTCAGTCACAGCAATTGCGAATGAAAGGCTAAAAGCAGAAAAAGAATCGACAACTAAGAAGAAGACAGGTAACCAATCTGACATTCCTTTCATTCATCTGGCCCGCGTTATATATTCTTCTGTCAAAAGAGAAAATAGAAACATGACATGGTTCAATTTCTCACTTAATTGAGAATATTAAATCAATTATGGGAGAAGAAGAAATCAACTATATTTTAAGGAAAGCATATCCGACTATAATTAAGCAAAAATTTCTTCCATGTATGCATATGCTTATAGTGAGGGTAGGTAAATGCCTCTCCTTAATTTCATGGTCGGTTGATTGTCGCTTCCGACATAGGTAAATGCCACTCCTTTCCATAATATTAAGCATTAAACTGAAAGTTCATGAGACATAGGTAAATGCCACTCCCTTTCAACACCCGATGTAGGTGATCGAGCCCTGATAATATTACCGTATAGGGAAGCTATACGCTTTTGTGTAATTCTTCTTTGTAACAAATTGTTCTAATTATGTATCATATTATGCTAAGGTCAATTCTCTGAACGTGCTTCTATTTTAATTTCCAGGTGGGAAGAAAAAACAGCTCCATGTCGACAAACCAGATGATGATTTGGTTGTTAATGCTTACGATGACGTTGATGATTACGACTTCATGTGATTCCTTTTGGGCAAATGCCAATCTTCTAGTGTTTGCAATTCGGATCCTGTGGCTACAGCATCAGCAATGTAGATGCGGAATCCGGTGGCTCATTTCGTCCTTTTTTTTCTCTTTCCAATTCTTGGAGAATTTAGTTGTTTGATGAACAGCCATCCATAATATGGATGAATAGCGTTACATGATGAATCATTAGATTGAACTTTAGAAACAAATCTTCAAAGAAGGTTTTGGGCAGTTCAAATGTGTTTTTTTGCCTAGGATTGAGAACTCATTCTATTTGCAAGAAAAATACACTTTTATTCTGCTTCTGTGTGCATTATGAGAACTAGTTGTTTGACATATCATTTAATAAGATTTTCTCATGAAAAACATAATTATATATATATATATATGAATTTGGATTTACTTACCCAATGTAAGACGCTTTAGATTTAAGTTTTATATTGTGTAACATGATCTTCTGATCATTCAATTGTTTGTTCAAATTAGTTTTTATTTATTTTTAAAATTATAATTAAATTCAATATTTTATATTATTAAAAAATTATTTTATTTAAATGTAATTTAAATAAAAATTAAATTATTATATTTATTATTATATATCAAATTATTATATTGAACATTTAATACAATTAAATTAATTAAAGATAAATTGATTGTTGAACTTATCCAATTTTACGTAAAAGTTACACCTTCATTTTAAATTTTTAATCTGAAAATTCAATTTATATTATCTAGTTATTTTAAATTAAATTAAATGCTATCTTTATATATAATTTAAATATTATCTCTCATATGTTTCACACGCACTTTAAATATTGTTCTTTCCAATGGTCGGTTTATGATATGGCAGCCTCCATCTACCTTCATATCCTCAACTGTTGCTCCTTGACATTTTCAGCCAATTATCAATTAGTTTAATGAAATAAAATCTCACATCTTTTTAATAAAATTCAATATATTTATTAAATCAAATTAAAAAAAAAATCTGTCTCACTACCAGAGATAGATTGATAAAATAAATTTTAAACTTTTATATAACTTAAATAATTTATTTATATTTTTATGATCTAATTCTGTATTTTCTAAATTTTGTAATTTTAACATTTTATTAAATTTCTTAAAAATTTATATCTCTAATACACAATTTTAGATCAATCCTTATTGAAGTCTGTACTCCTAAAATATATTAATTTTACAACATTTATATTTTTAATATAATTCCTAAAGTTTGGAGTTCTAATACAAAATTCTAAGTTCATTTCTAATGATATATTTTTACAATATCTAAATTCATAAATAATTTGTTTTGCTAAATCTAGAGTGAATAAAATGTAATATTTGTTCAAAGACTTTCAACCTTTCGATGATATATGCGGTACTCAGACCTAAAATATCAAGGTATAACAACAAATCTCTTAATTATGTTAGTTCGTGCTAAATGACTTTAAATTTGATTTAATTTACTAAAAAACATCTATTAATAATAAATGGTATGAATCAAGTTTTCTTTATGAAATGATAGCGAGGTTTTGAAGCCTAACAAAGCTGGCAGCAAAGAAAGGGTTGATTCCTTGCATACCCCACATCTTTTGCCTTTCAAATATTCCTTATTATTCGTGTACAAATAAAATGCACCTATTGATTCTCCCTTCTCCATTCTCCATTCTCCATCTTCATCTTAGCACATTCCATACTTTCCCTCCAGGCTTTCTTTCCATTTACTTCTTCCCCCACCATCTCCCTCCGCCTCATGGGGTCGGACATCCAGGTAAACCTCCTATTTCATCCATGAAACATCCTCTACATTGCAACGGTTTCGAGTAACCACTCTTTTTTGTTGCAGAAACCTCGAATCACCGAGCTCCAAGTCCGAATGGACTGCAATGGCTGCGTTCAGAAGATCAAAAAGGCGCTTCATGGGATTCATGGTAACTAGTGGTTAGGATTTGTAGATGATTTTGTTGGAATGTTTCTATACCAATTTTAATTATATAGCATTCCATTCAGTTTTACAGTTAAATTTTTCGTTCTGTAATTTTTTTCAATAATTTAGATTATATTGCAATACCGCTAACGGATTTTACTGTTTTGTTGCTTGAATCATGATTTTCGGGTTTGTTTATAGGTATTTATGAAGTCTATCCAGATATTGCTAGACAGAAGTTGACAGTTATAGGATGGGCGGATCCAGAGAAGATCGTTAAGGCAATTCGGAAAACTAGGAAGACTGTAACGATTTGTTCGCATTCGGAACCACCCGAAGAGATGGCACAGCCACCGGAACAACAACCAGAGACAGCGAATCCAACTCCATCAGAAACTCCACCACCAGCTGAAGCTGCTGCTGCTCCACAACCTGAAGCAGCTGCAGAGCCACCGAAAGACCAACCAGCTCCGGAGACTCCACAGCCTGAACCTACACCCGCACCCGCACCCGCGGATGCGAGTGTCGTCCAGCAACCACTGCAACCTTCGGGGCCAAAAGATGTAGGAGAAGTTCATGTAATATGTCACCATCCACCTGATTATGGACATAGATCCGGATACGTTCACAGTTACGGAGGAGGACCCTGTGGTACACAATACCCTACTTGCCATAGCCAATGCAGTTTCTATCCTAATGGCCACCCTTTCCACCGTGAACCACCTCAACAACCGCAACCGTCCTTCGTAACTCACAGCTACAACACGTACAAGCCGTCACCATACGTAACGGAATATGAATACTTCCGTTCGCCACCACGATACTCGCATTACAGTAGGATCGATCATTACAGAGACGAGTATTACAGTTACAGCTATAGCAGCAGTAACAGCAATGGCAACGGAAATATTTCGTCGATGTTTAGCGACGAAAATCCGAATGCATGTAGCATAATGTAGAAAGTAAATAAAGAACACGGAGACGGCATGTGCAGAAAAAAGAGAAAAAATAGAAAATGATGAAGGAGAGGTATAGATTCCATTCCATGCTTGTAAGTGCTGGAAGAATTGATTCTGCAATCCACTTCTGAGAGAGGTATTATTTGATATTAAAGGATCATTTACGTGTGAAAATGAATGTGCTCAAGATATTATCGTTACGTCCGAAGCTGATCCAATTTTTTCCTGATAATATCGAATATTAAAAAATAAGTCATCCAATTATATATTTTTTATTTATTTTAGATTTTTAAAGTTTTATTTTAGGGTAGGTGTAACGTTTTCTCTATTATTATTTTAAATGTCTGACCATTAATGACTATTAGAAAAATTACAAAACATGACATGTGATGGGTTGATAAAATTTTAAAACTTTTATTTTTAAAAATTTAAAATTATTATTATTTTAATATATATATATATATAATATAATTTCTCTAAAATTTCAAAAAAAAATTAAACTCCTAAATTTTTTTAATTCTAAATCCTCCATTATTATCATTGATCATCTTCAATTAGTATCGCCATCGCCGAATGACCATCCACCCCTCGTCGTCCATCACTAACGATAAGAGAGTAAGTGACAACTAAAGGGGAATAGATTAAGGATTTGTAATTGAGGATTTAGGGATTTAGAAGATTTGGATGATGGGAAGAACGATGATCAATCAACATATGGACGACAACAGGTGAATAACCATTTGGCAATGTCGGGGGTGGCTGAAGATAATCGACAGGAATTTTCGAAGTTTAGATTCTTTAAAAAAAAATTAAATTAAACTTTTAAAAATAATAATTTTAAGTTTCTCAAAAATAAATATTTTTTTTAGAAATGTATAAAAGTGACATGAGTCACATTTTAAGTGGCTAGTAATTATTTTAACGATCATGATGATTTACACACTTAAAGTGAAAAGTAAAAAATGTTAAATATTTCCAATAACAAAAGAAATTCTAACATCTAGAATAAATAAAAGATATAATTTAAAGATTTATTTTCTAATTAACCCCAAAAAGTATACCTAATTGTATTACATTAACACTTCCTATGACATATTTTAGTAACGACGAAGAGGGTGAAAACAAAACCCAAAGTTTGTGTGGCTTAAAAAGAGGAAGGAATTGATCTCTCTATATTCTACATAAGATTCTTTTGACTCAACTTCCTAACGTTATTCTATAATATTTTGCCATGTGAAACCCAAATAAAGGTCGGCAACTTTTGTCTTATTGAAAAATAAATAAATTTCGAGGGCTAAAATTAAATTTATTTTTGTCTATATATCTTCAATTGATTGGAACACCCAAAATGAAAATTTTCCCTCTAATTAGGGGCTACCAAGGATTTAATTGAACTACTAAAATTTTGGAGTGACTAGAAATGTAACTGTACCATTAAGCATATCCATCTTATTAGACTAATTCAATATAACACACCAAATAGGTTTGACGTTACATCCATATATTACTGTAATAAAGAGGCGATGAATGGCTGGCGGCAATGATCGGTTAGCCGAGTTTTGCCGAGTTGGCAAAGGTGGCGGCCTTGACAAAGTCGACGTGTTGAGACAGCTTGGGGTGGAAGAAAAGGCAGACTGCTGAAATATCATCCATTGCAATACCTCTCTTCTTATATTTCCATGCTCTTGTGGCACATTGAACCAGTTTCTTTGCTGATTTCTCCCTATCTTCCGTCGATGATACAATCTCGACTGCTTCTTCATTTGAAATAACATCCCACACCTAATTCAATCAAACATCGGAAAATACGTGTCAAATAATTGTTCTCTCAATCGATCGGACTAACCCTTTTTCTGTATTCCTTGGACTACAAGGCACTCAAAAATGGAAAATGAATTAGGGAATTGAAAGCTGAATAAAATTCATACCCCATCTGTTGCTAAAATGACAAATCGGTCTTTGTTTGTGATGTTTCTTTGGGTGACATCGGGCACCGAGATGAGGCCGAACTCTTTGACGCAGTGGTCTCCGATGGCTCTCGATAAAGCTAACCCTGGTGTGTTCCCATTAGGCGTCCACACCCTGTACACGCCCGGTTCATCTCTTAAGCTAAATACTCGTCCATTGCACTGTCTTATTCTCTCAGCCTCCTCTGTTACATATATATACACATAAAGATAAAATCTCAAAGATTGTAATGACATTTCCCAGGACATCTCCTCTGCACCGTCCCGTATGATGTTACACTGGTGAAACGTCCTGGAACCGAGTCATTGCAAAAACTATTCGAAATAAGGTGGTAACAAGTATATTATCTAACCCGGAATGTTAGGCTTGAAGTCAACTGTAAGCTGAAGAGGTACCAATGTGCCACCATCTGAAGTAGTTGCTAGGACTGCCCGAGAATCACCGACGTTTGCTATTACCAGATGTTCACCCTAATCCATCAAGGTCGAGAAAATTTTGTTAAGCGGACCATCTCAAAGTCGACCAATACAAGTGTGTTTGAATATGAGCACGAGTACTCAAGTGACATAAGAAATAACAAAAGTTTACCTGTTTGATGATTGTCAGAGCCGTCGTCCCACTACGGAAGGAATCGATGCCGGGATGGTGCTTAAGCTCGAGGTCTATGTCGGCATAGGTTTTCAAATAAGATTGTTTCCAGATATCAAAGTGGTGAATATTAGGGTTGAGTTCTGTCTCCAATTCATGGCCAAGTGAGGCTAAGGAAAGAGCTTTTTGCCAGTTGCAAGCAAAGAAGGAGCACCGACTCCTTCACCCTTTTGGCTACAATATGACCCCAAGGTCCATGCCCATCAAAAATACCAAAATACCATATCATCTTGGCACCCAAATTCCTATATCGAAAAAAAAACTCGAAAATACGAAGTTATAGCTTGAACATAAAGAAACGAGTTACAAGTGACGAAAATCGAATTCTGAACTCGAGGATCAAGAAAGGAGTCGTAATTCTGATATTCAAGTCTCTAATTTATCTAATGATACAACTTGCATGATTAACTTACCTCCCAAACAATTGCACAGTCCTGATTGATTCCTTTTTCGCCTTTCTTCGAGCAGATGGAAGCAAAACTATTGGACTTGTTTAGCTTGAGTGTACCTGAGGAATTGCTAAGCACCAACTCATTCTTCTTGGCATTTTTGGCCATGGCTTCCGCTGCTTCTCTTCCAACATCCGTCAGATTCTTCCCTTTCTTCATCGAAACACTTCGCGCCAATCCATCGAGAAACGACGGCAAATGCACCATGTCTCCTTGATCTTCTTCTACTAATTTACTTCGTAAATCACACACAAAAACAACACCTTTTTATTAATAATCTCTTTCAATTCAACAAGCTAAAACATAATCTCGATCCTGTATTCAATTCAACAAGCTAAAACATAATCTCGATCCTACATGGATCGACATGTATTCGAATACGGTGACGAACATATGAAATATATTCTTCCAAGTATAAGAATTAAACATACCTATACCGGAATAAAACTAAGAAATTTTGTTTTTAACCAAGTACAAAATTTTAACATGATCAACATATACATATATGACATATACCTTTGTTTTTGCTGGAATTCGGATCCAACAAAACGACCAACTATATAAGCCTGAAATCCGACAGTTACTCGACGGTGCGGCTGCCGATCATCGGACACTCGCTAGACCGAATCCAACGGATTCTTGAATATGAAGAAGTCCCGAGTTGCTTATACTCCATTTGTAACCTTCTTTTCTGCAAAACAATGGGGAACTTAGTTTTAAGTACGTAATCTAAATCTTTCACAGCAAACAATAAGCAGCGTTCGTAAAAGGACTAAAATACCATGGATTTGTTAGTTGAATTATACGAAAACAATGGGTATTTTAGACATTTTGAAAACAAATTTCATATTAAAAAATATAGGCATGCCTCATCGTCAACGTCATCAACCTCAACCTTAACCTTGAGATTTTAATTTTATAAAATAAAGTCGGTCAGAAGTTAGTAAAATATTTTATTAATGAAATTATAGGAAACGGTAATTAAAAAAAAAATTCGTGGACGGGAATTGTTGGGATAAAAATAGTATTATCATTCTAACTAAACTAATGATGTCTAAAGCCACTAATGAATAGATTATTAATGGTAGATAAAGATGGGAAAAAATAATAACAAATGGCTAACGATTAGCTAGGGGCCACAGATTGTGACCTACATTAGTAAGGATGGATGAAAAATTTTATGTTAGGATATAAATTTTTAAAATTTAAAAATAAATGTAATTATAAAATTTTTGGAATGAAAAATATATTTTTAATAAAAAATATATATAAAAAATCTAAAATATATAGTAATTTTAAATTTTCAGGAAAACCTTTTAGTTCTTATATGTGTCTGATTATATTTATTCTTAAATGATTGGTAATTATTTTATTTTATTTTCAAAAAATTAAATTTAAAAAAAATCAAAATTTATAAATTTCAAATAAAATATAAAATTGTCGAACTTAAAAGATTTTTTCGACATATACACCTTAAACAACATCTGTCATTAGGGGCGAAGTTATGCTTAATCATGTGGGGCCATTGCTCCTAAATTCTTTTATAATTAAAAAATATATAAAATAAATATTTATTTAAACCTTTAAATTTTAATTTTTTGTTGTTGCTAATGATACTTTATCTCTTTAAATTAATATCCTAACACCGTCCTTATTCGTCACACATATATGAATTATATAAAAAGGAATAAAAATAATAAAGGGTGGTGGGGTAAACAAAAATGGACAATGACTACCGCAGACGTGGCCCAGTTGATAAAGTAAGGGCGTTGGTCTCATATCTTAAGTTCAAACCACGCTGGTTGAAAATCTTAAAAAAAAAAAAATAGGGGGACAGAGTGGTGGAATCTTTGAACCCCTCCGAAGATTACCTTGTAGGATCGGATTCTTTAACTTGACCTTGAGAGGTCTTACGTTAAAAAAAATGGACAATGATATACGAATAACTATGGAATCCAATAGGTTGGATTTAAGAGATTGGGACCCAATTTTCATGGTTACTAAATATTGGGTTCAACACATAGGGAATGTCAAATAATAGAATTGAATAATCGAAATAGACAGAATAAAATATATTTTCTTTCTTTTTCTAGACAAAATCAATAAAACTTTATTAATTAAAATTTGGTTGATGT